CAGCTCCGTGCACAGTTAAAATCGCCAGAACTCACTGAACACACTTTATAGACAGGATCCCACACAGCATGTTAGCAGGTCCTCACAGCACACCGGGAAGGGGGGGCCTCCAGATCTAGCACTGCACTTCCATAAACCTGAGGAACTCAAGAGATAAATTTTAATAACAAGAGTCAAAATTGAGGCAGCGCATCTTAACATGGGAGACACTAACGTGGTAACAATATGGCCATCTTGAACGCCCCCCTTTAGAGGTTAACTCTAACTCTGTACCCAGAACATATCTCCTTTGGTACAGAAGGTCTTAGGATCCTAGATAAGCAACTAGAGGACCTGCTAGACAGAAGTATGTCTGGGCCACCGTGACCTGGAGCCAGATACACTGTGGTTAACAGATGGATATGTGGCAGGCAGTACGACGGTGTCATAAGGAAGAAAAAGCAGCAATAATGGAAAGGATGACTTTAAGGTTTGGACATGAAAGGAGAGGTGAGCGGTAATGGGAAGCAGCATGAAATCCCAGTCATCACAGGAAACAATCTGTAGATGGAGCCTCTCCTAACGGCCTATAGTCACCGCACAGGTCTGTAACTGCTTCACTGCGTGCACTCTTCAAAATGTTATTTGTGCCTGCTGTGATTCAGGTTTGTGATTAAAGGCAGTGACCGTGTTCATTAAAAGTATGAAGCAGGAACCAGAGAGAGAGAAATCGATCCCAGGCTAAAGTCTGACATAATAAAGCCAGTTTGCTGTGTGGTGGATTCCTGCAGAGGACAGGACAGGTAATGTTTGTCAGGAGGTGACAGCTCCCCATTTACTGAAGCCTTCAGCTTAGTGGAGAGAATGAAGTCGTGGCAGCGGACTGGACAAAAACTGTTCAGTATAAATGTGTCACAAACCGTTTTCTCTTTCAGGTCTCAGCCAGTCACTAGTTGAGCCTGATGTTAAAACCAAAAGAACCAGAACACCATGGCTCTGACAGTCACACCCTAAACAGCCTCCTGTCTCTCTCCAAGAGACAAGCGCTGTGTTATTCACATGTAAATGGGAAAATCCATATGTTCCAGTAAGGTTGTTTTAGATCACTGGAGTGTTTGCTCATTACTCAGTTCCATTGGTCAGGTCAGAAAAATGTCAGTAAGACTTTAGATCTTAGCAGGGAGATGAAGACAGGCAAGCAACAGATAAAAACATACAAGGACAATCACTATTAACAATGCTTTAGACTCCGTGCAACCCTCTGGGGACCCATGTGGCAAAGAATTCAGGATGAGCCTGTGTCACTGAAGGACAGAACCTAAAGAACAATTTCTACACAATGGAAGAGGGTGTGGCTGGTGAGAAGCCTTTGACAGAGTATCACAATGTTTCCAGCAGAAGCAGAAAGAATACGTGTCGGGGTCAGCGGAGATATGGTGAAGGCGGTAGCTGCATCGCCTGTAAGAAACATGATGAGATTTGAGGCGTCAGGATTTTAGTTCTGCTTCTCGATTGTTTCACATTCTCACCTTCATTCGCCATCTCTTTGACTCCATCTCCGTCCCCTAAAGCCGTTCAGGTTCCACACATGTACACAGGACACAAACCGCTGCAAACACATCCTCTCAGTCTCTGAGAACATGTGATGTGGACAAACAGAGTGGTCTGAGAGACGTTCAGAGACCAAAATAGAATGAAGTGAAAACATTAACATCCTGAGGCAGGGAATAAAACAACAGATTGAAAGTGACAATGTGACAGAAGTGTGGAGATGGAGAGAGACAGCGAAAGGAGGAACCCATTAAAGAGAAACTAACTAAAGAGAGTGAGTGACAGAATGAATGAGACAGAGACAACTAAACAAAAACACACCTCTGGTCCTAACAGCGTGGGCACCTCTTTGCTCTTCCTTGTTCTATCATATTTTAGATTGTATTCTTGAGCTGATTTTTACTGTGCTTTGTCTTTCTGTGGGGTCACCTTGGTTAATTACCAGGGACACCCCATGCCTCCTTATGGCTTTAGCCGACCCATCTCCTGTCTGCACAGGTATAGTGCTGGATGTTAAGTGTGTGTATGCAAATGACTAATGGTCTCACCCGTCTCATTTAAATGTTGTCTGTTATGTTGAAAAGAAAGAAAAACAAACAGGAGAGGGAGACAGTCTGTGAGATGTAGGGAGAGAAGAGAGATGTAAGAGAGAGGAGCTGTAAAAGAAGCAGCAACAGAGGAGACAGAACCAGAGATGTGAGAAACCCCACAAGTGGCCTTTAACTACTGTATTTTTTACTCCTGAGAGCTTTTATTTTGAAACACAGTCACAGAGGGCTCAGACAAGGAGCTGCCGAGGGACTCTCACTTTGAGGAAAGCTCTGAGAGCCTGTCACAGCGGAGCCGATGGGTTAATCCCAGCTTTCAAAAGGTTTCCTCTAACAGCACCAGACCAGGCAGGAAGTAAAGCCAGAGCCTTCCTGCTCTGATTCTACTGTAAATGCCTGAAACATCTGATTACTCTGCTCTGGCCAGCAGTAAATCTTTCACCTCGGCCCAGGTGGGGTTCCCCATCGGTTCTTCTGCCTTTTCCCCATCTCCATCAAAGCATAGTCATATAGGACTATCAACATGTGGTGTTAGTGAAGGGGAACAGACAGTACAGCTTCCAGGTGATGCAGCCGCTCACAGCAGTGTCAAGCTTCACTGATTATAAGATGGCAGTGATCTTTGCTTGGACCAGACTTCATTTTCTTTTCCTCACCTGAAGAGCTGATCTCTCCAGCAATGTCTTCATTGTTGAAGATTGATGAATTCAACATAAATGAAGTAGTTTCCTATAGTTTCCAATAACAAACTATTAGCAAAGATTCATTTCTTTCTTCCAGATTCATCTGGAAGTCAACAGGGGACCTGTAAAACACAGCCAAACCAGATAGGATCCTGAAGGCCCAGCTGGAGGAACAGATGTATGTGTTCACAGCTCATTAAACACCAAAACGCAGCACAGCGGGTCGTGATGCTCACAGACAGGTCTGTGCAGCTCTGGTACTCCTAACAGCAGCTGATTCACCACTGGGTGTGACAGTCTGGAGGGAAACAGCCGGAATACCAA